CTGGGCATCGCAGACACCAGATTGCTTTCAGCAGCCGCGCTCCGCTCGGAGCTGGGCGATAAGTAACAAAAAGTCTGCGCTCTGCGCCGCCGGTTCCTTGTCTGGGGATGCATAAAACCTGGGAGATGACAGATCGGGCACCTCCATCCAAGAGCATCCCGGTGCTCGCTCCTGCCGGAGAGGCGGGTAAACAAAGGCGGCTCTCCCCGGTGTCCGCGGGCAGCTGCCACCCCCACCCTGCCATGGCAAAAACAAAAGAGGTCTGCACTGCTGGGATTTGAGGGAATGGGATGCTCCCGGTGCTATCCCGGCCCTTTTATTCTCTTGGTACCCGCAGGGGAGCTTGGCCCTGGAGCCCCCCCTCGGATATCTCCCTTCCCAGGGAAGGGTCTCCTCGCCCAGGCTGGATGCCAACAGCAGTGGGAATTACTCGGCGGCACACGGCAAGGAGGAAAACATCCCAGTTTTGGGCACGGAGAGGGGTTCAGCCATCCCAGGAAAGGGCTCGGAGCAGGCTGCGGCCGTTCTGCACCCAGTGGGTTTGGCAGATCCCTGCCTGAACCCCAGGTGGTGCCCACAACTGTGTGGGCAGAAGAGTTTGAGCACCCGTCCGACAGCACCCGGGGATTTGGCGAGGTCAAATATTTGGCAGGGGAGCTTTCTGATGCGGTTGGCTCAATTTAGATGGCCCCCACCGCTGGCAAGGATGCTCAACGATGCTTTGCACTGGGGCAGTCATGACAGCAAGGGAAAAGGGAGGGCAATGGGAAATGCCAACTTGAGGATGCTCCAACAACAACAAAAAAAAAGAGAAGGCGCCATGGCTGTGGGACCACAATGCCCAGGTCTTGGTCCATCCATAGGTGGACACATGCTGGTTGTGCTCACCTGGCCTCCTGAGTTCCCAGCAGCCTGAAGCAGCTGGAATAACACTGCCAGACTCCTCCCAAACTCATCCTCTTTCCCCAAAACACTGGCTGGACCCCTGCATCTTGTCTCCATCCATCCCCATCCATAGGTGGACACGTGCTGGTTGTGCTCACCTGGCCTCCTGAGCTCCCAGCAGCCTGAAGGAGCTGAAATAATGCTGCCATCCTCCTCCCAAACCCATCCTCTTTCCCCAAAACACTGGCTGGACCCCTGCATCTTGTCTCCATCCATCCCCATCCATAGGTGGACACGTGCTGGTTGTGCTCACCTGGCCTCCTGAGCTCCCAGCAGCCTGAAGGAGCTGAAATAATGCTGCCATCCTCCTCCCAAACCCATCCTCTTTCCCCAAAACACTGGCTGGACCCCCTGCATCTCATCTCCACCCCCTTTTCCAACCACTGTGGAATCTGTGCCACCTTCTGCATGCCCCATCAGTTTTGTCACTCAAGCCCCAGCTCCTCCCCATGGCTGGGTTTCACCCCAACAGAGCAGCACAGACCCCAAAACGTGGGGTTTGGGAGCGACCATGGGGACACACGGATTATTTCACCAGGCCAGCGGGGTGAATCCTTCGGAAGGAGGGACGGGCAAGGCAAGGAACCATCTCTGCAACCTCAAAGTTGAATAATTACCACCTGGGCTGTGGAAAGTCCTCTCCCCCTCCCCGGGCCACCAGCTCCCCGAGAACCCACCAGCACCCGTGGAGGGAACCAAACCCACCGTGTCCCCCAAAAACCCCGGGGGCTTTGCCGAGGAATGCCGGGGGCGGCGGTGGGAGGGGGGGGAGCAGCCGTGGCGGCGGCGGCGGCGCTGGGAAGGGAACCAGCTGGAGAGCCGCAGCCTCATGAAATAATGAAATGCCAAACCAACCCCTGCATCTTCCACAGTCTCTCAGGTCACCTACCAGATTAGGAGGCCTGTTGCTAAGGCAACCATATCTTGCAAGTGCTAGCTGAACTTCCCCATCGTTTTTAACCCTTTAAGGAGCAAAAAAACCAAAAAAAAGCAGGGGGGAAAAAGGGAAAAAAAAAAAAAAAAGGGATATATATATATAAAAAAAATAAAATAAAAGGGTAATGTCGATGATTCAACCCACAGGAGAGCAGCAGAGGCAAAAGGGGAGCGGCTGGGAAAGGGGGGGGGTTGGAAAAAGAAATAAACCAACACACCCCAACCAAGCACCCCACAAAAAGTCAGGTTACGCACGTGGAACGGGGGCAAACAAAGCAAAAATGGAACTTTTTCTAAAAAACAAAAAAACAACACAAAAAAGCAAAACAACAAAAAAACACAACAAAACAACACACAAGCCCTGGTGGCCTCGCAGACGCCAGGCAAGCCCTGCCGCCGCGGCAAGCAGCCGGCAGGCCGGCGCCGCACGGGAGGGGACAGATGGCCGGCGCTGCGCCCAGCGGGGACGTCGTCGTCATCATCGTCGTAGGGATGGAGGCGATGGGCACCCCGCGGCCACCCCGCCAGCTCTGCCCCCACCCGGGAGCACCCCACCCCCGGGGATACAGGGGTTGGTGCTCTGCCAGGATGAAATAACAACAAAAACAAAACAAAACAAAACAAAAAAATTTAAATACAAACCAGCCTCACTCGCCACCCGGGGATTGCGGCCCAGCAGGGTGATGGGGGACCACCGTCCCCTTCCTCTAGGAGGGTAAAACCTCATTTTGAAGGCACACAAGCAGCGAGCCCCAAATATTGTTGGGATAATATAATATAACGGGGAGGCCTGAGAGCAAGAAGGAAAAAAAAAAAAATTAAAAAGAAATAAAGAGAAGTGAGGCGATGCACAGGCAGCACAAGGGAAAAAAAAAGGAAAAAAAAATAAAAAAGAAAAAGGAAGGAGGGGAGAAAGAGGCATGGAAACGAGGAGAAAATGTGGAGCGGCATAAATCAGGCAGGCGGGGGGGCCGGGGAGGCACGGCAGCACGTGCTGCATCCCCAGCCAGCGGGCAGCGCACGCGGACGGCTCCTGCCCGTGGGGCTGGCACCGGGAAGCAAACCGGCCTCGTGTCCCATGGGAAGGGGCTGACACCCAACACACCCCCCCCCAGGTGCTAATTCAGGGTGGGAGTATCGGCTCTGCCACCCAGCACAACATCGTTCCCCTTGTTAGAATCCCTTTGGGAAAGAAAAAGCCTCCGCTGGCGCCGGTGCAAAAGATGCTCCATAACAAAAATGGAGGGGGGACCCCTTTTTCCATCCTTTCCCACCCTCGGGTCAGGGCGGGGATGGCAAACGTGACAATTCCTGCTGAATTCCCCTCAAATGAGGGCAGCAAGATGGAAACTTGCCTTCTTTCCACCAGCCTGCTCCGAAATCATTATAAGGAGAGGCACAGGGGTCCATGCAAACCCAGCCCCGCTTTGCTCCGGGGTCACAGTGTGATGGGCTTGTGGCTGGGCCACCACGCTGGGGGGCTGCTGGCATGGCCACCCGGCTCCAGTCCTGCCCTCCGACCTTGCCCCCACGCTGCCACCCCTGCACCTTGCCAACCGGCTGGCAGGAGAAACTTAATTAGCCTTGTCCGTCAACCCCAAACATCTGTAACCAGCAAAATTTACAACCAGAAATAAAGAGGAGTGACCTTCGCGGCGTTGAAAGACAGTTGGGTTCTTGTATTACAACAGCGGGGACAGGCAAAATTCATTATCTCTAATAGCCGTCCTTATAACCAGATTAAACACAAAGCCAGCAGTTCCATAGTCCCTGACCTGCCACTGTCCCCGTCCCCATCCCGGGTGGAGGGGAGCTCCCACAAACCCCACCACTGCCAATTCAGCTGGTGGTTATGCATGTGGCCACCTCCATCCCTCCTCCTCCTCAGGGAAAGACAATATCCCAGCTCATCCCACCACACCAGGCTGGGCTGGGGACACCCAGCTGGTGTCACATCCCTCCTGGTCCTTCTCCAGGCAGCACCAGGGAGATGCTCAGCTCCCCAGCGAGCATCCCAGAGTTATTCCCCACACCAGGGATGCTGTGGTGGTACCCGGAGCTGGTGCTGCAGATGTTTGCTCACGGGATGGAAAGGGAAAAACCACCTGGTTTCCAGCAGGCAACCAAACAGGGCCTGACCCTCCGGAAACAATCATCATCACGTCCCAGTGCACGTAGGTTCCCGAGCACGAGGGCTTTTGTCCTGAAGACGCAGCCAAGGCTTTCACCTCTGGCTGTGAGATGCATGCGGTGCCAATCACCGGCCGGGGAGCCAGAGCCTGTTATTTTCATCAGAGGATGTTCTCCAGGGGGACCTTCAGCTGCCAGCCAGGAGAAACAAGCCACTGGAGAGAAAACTTGAGCCTCCTAATGGCTTTTTCTTCACCACCCCCAGCCCTGGCGGCAGCATGAGGGCAGATCCTTCTCCAGAAGATGAGCACCACCAGCGGGGCCAGCTGGTTTCTCCCACGTTCAGCAGCAACAAGTCAAACTGCTTGGAAAACACTTAAGGTTGGGGAGGTGGGGGCGGGGGGAAGCTTCAAATGGACCAGGCGGACGGACGGTGCACCGTGCTGGAGCAATGGTAAAATTTAAAATTAATTAGCTGGCAGGATGATAAAGAAGCCATTGTGCAGCATGGTAGAGCAATCCAAGTACAAAGGCTTTATACAAGTCCTGCTGAAAACTCCTTGATGACTGCAGGTAAGGACGGACAAGCCGTTAGGACGTGCCATGACACCCTGAAGGGCTCCGGGACAAGCAAGAAAATGTGCTTTTAACGATGAAACAAGCCCTGGGAGCCCCAGCCTGGGCCTTCTCTCCAGAGGGGAGTGAAGTGCCTGGGCTTTATCGGTGCTGTGATGCCCAGGATAAACCAAAACCAGCTGGTTTGGGTGTTTGGGTTTTTTCACAGAAAGTAGCCCTCGAGTTGGGCTGAGGACACCCATGTGCAACACTGACCAGCATCTGCCTCCTTGTGAGCTCCCACCTCCATCCCCAGCTGTACCCCACCAATCACACCCCTGCTGAACCCCTCCTTGATGTCTCCAAGCGTTCCAAAGCACAGCTGCCCCTGCCTCAAACCAGACCCCGACAGGGTCTTACCAAACCAGACCTACCTCCTGCAGAGAAAGACGCCAACAGGTCTCCATCACCCGGTGGAGATCCAGGTTCTGCTCCTCAGGGAGGAGCAGCCCCCCTCCCAGAGCTGCTGGGGACACAGGACGAGGGGGCTGGAGCTGCAATGGGGAGTCACTCCAACGCTGCTACCAGCCCCAACCCACCCCCAAACCTTCACCTTCCTCCTCCTCGCTGCAAGCATCACACCCGGGCAGGGGGATGTGGGGGCTCACGGAGCTCCTGCACCCCACACCCTGCGCTTATCCCACTGGGGATCCCCCCAAAAAGGGGGGGCGAGCGCCCAGCGAGGGCCAGGCAGAGTGGGAGGGCAAGGAGGATGCTCTGCGGGGCTTTGGCAGGAGAGCAAAGCCAAGGAGCCAGGCCACAGCCTTATCTGCCCACCCCAAAGCAGGGTGCGCTGCGAGGAAGCACCCTCACCCTGCCCCCTTCCTCGGCCTGCACCGCCTTTATTTTTTTTTTTTTCCACTTGAAAAAAAACAACCCCAAAACAACAAACCGAGCTCCCAGCTCCTCCCCAGCCCAGAAGCTGAGCTGCAAGGGGGGGGAGGTTAATGGAGGGGTTTTTACCCCCTTACGGTTGCCAGAAATGAATAAATAAGCCAAGCCAAGGTTTTGGGACACCCTGTTTTGGGAGGAAGGGTATGCCAGCTGGCCACTCGCCTTGGTGGGCACCCATTGGGGCTGGACCAGGTGTGATGGCAGCCACAGGGAGCACAGGAGAAAACCCACACCAGCTCTGGGCTGGTGTCTCCACTGGGAATGCCACGGGATGCTGGCACCCAAGCTGCACCGAGCAGGTTGTGCTCACCAGGCTGGCAAAGCCACTGCCACGCAACCTCTGCTTCCAAAAAAAAAAAGTCCCAATTATAGGTGTGAGCTCAGCCCTGTGAGGTTGGAAGGAACCAGCCCAAATCCAGGGAAGACAGGAGGGACAAGACCCCCACCCCTGACCCTGTCTGAGGGAGGCAGGAGGGGCGGTGAGAGCTCATTTTCACTACAGAAAGCCACCGCACCCCAGGAGGAGAGGCACCAGATCAAGCCTTCCAAGGGTTGATGCAGAAACAGTAAGAAGGGGGGGAAAAAAAAAATAAATTAAAAAGAAAATGTTAGCTTAAGACACAGCCAGAGGTCTTCCTTTGGACTTTATCTTGAGGCAGCAGGCTGCAGCCACGCTGCCTCGCACACAGACGGACCCCACCACAGCCTCCCGCCCGGCCGGGGGAACGTGGAGGTGGAAGTCACCTTCCTAAAAGCCACCGGTCGTGGTGGTGTTGGCCATGGAGGAGGAAGAGTAGGGCAGGTTGGGAGAGAGCTTGATGGCCGGGTGTGAAGCGCTGCCCTGCTCCATCACCCCAACCATCTGCCGAATATATACATAGAGATATAGACGCATATGCCTGGATCTTAATTCTGCATGTTACATACATTTAATTGCATGTATACGCAGACACAGATATTCCACTTAATTCCAACGCTAGCACTCTCCATGCACCCAACTCAGGCAAGAGAGCAGGCATTTCTCCTCCCCAAAAACCACATAATAATTTAAATGCATAAACCTGAGACAAAAGAGAAGCCGCCCTTACCACAGGGAAAGCTGCACCCCAGGCATGCCCAAACCTTACCCAAATCCCCCTGCCCCCCCCAGGTGCCCTTCCCATCCTGACCGGGCACAGGGGACAAGGTGCCACCATCCCAGGATGTGGGGATGGGAGTGGGGAGGTGATGGTGGGTGGGTGGGGGGCAGCGGGGTCCCAGCACGCGTGGGAAGCTGTACCCACAAGGAGCCACCCCCGTATTTTGGAAATTCCCCCCCCTACTCCTCCTCCTCCTCCCTTTGACTACACAGCAGTAGCTTTTGAACTCAGCTCCCGGCACTTGTGGCCACGAGCAGGAGTTTTGAGAGAAGAAAAAAAAAAACCAACAAAAAACAACCTGAAAAAGAAAAAACCCGAAGTGAGGCGGAGGAAAAGTTTTTTTTGTTTTTTTTTTCAAGTAAACAAAAAGGCAAAAAAAAAAAAAAAGCAAAAAAAAAAGCTGTTTTCACTCCCCACCAGCCCAGAGAAAAAAGTGCTTTTCTTTCCCCTCACCGAGCCCCCCTACCCCCTGACCCACCAGTGGGATGCTGGTGGGGTGGCCATGGGATGCTGGTGGGGATACAGCCCACTCCATGCTCCCCATGGACACAGAGGGGTGAACCCCAGCACCGGCTGGGCTGGGATGCTCTGAGGGATGCGGGTGGGGGGGCAAAAGCTGCTCCAGCTGCTCCATCCCCTCCGTTTCTATGGATCTTGAGGAAAAACAGGACCAAAGGCTGCCACAGCAGCTCCCCCAGCTCCTCTCCCCAGAGCACCCCCCCGGCAGCCGGGTGCCATTTCGGTGGTGTCGGTGGGCACGGTGAAAGAGGAGAAAGAGCTGGAGCCCCCCACCCACCCGCCCATTCCCCGGCAGCTGTTTCCAATAGATCCAGGGACGGCTTCACAAGAGGAGAAGGGAAAATAAAAAAAAAAAACCACACACACACAACCCTCCCCAAAATCCCCCAAATCCCCCCCCCTTCTCATGCCAGACCACCGGGCAGCCTCTCCGGCACAGCTCGTGGCCCCTCGCCCTCTTTGTTCCTGCGAAGGGACCCCCAGAAAGCAGGGGAGGGCAGGGCTGGGAGCTTTGTGCTCGCCCAGAGGCCAGCATCTGCCAGGGGATGGGGGGGGATGTGGGGGGGTTTGTCCTCTTCCCCCGCAGCCCCCCGTGCCGGGTCCCCTCGCCGGCCTCACCGCGCTGGCCCACGTGGCCGCTTCGCCGCCGGGGCAAACAATGGGATGGCGCGGGCTGCACGCAAGGCCTTCCTCCTCCTCCTCCCCATCCTCCTCCTCCTCCCCACCACAGGGCTTTGCTCGCCACCGGGAGCTGGCCCCCTCTCCAGCACCGGTTGGGGTGGTGGGGAGGATGGGGGTTGAAAAAAATAATAAAAAAATTTAAAAAAATACAAAAATCCCACTGAAAATGAAACAAAACAACAACAAAAAAAGACTCAAACCACATCGGTTTGTGCAAGACGAGATGGGTGATGGTGGGGGATGGACACACACCTCCATGGGCAGCACCCAGGGGTGCTGGGTGTCCCCCCACTGTGGCACTAAGCCCCATCCCTCACCCAGGCTTGAGGAAATCCTCCCCTCTCTCCTCCCATCCCAGCCCTGGCTTTTCCAGAGACACCCCTCCCGGATTGGAGCCGGAGAAACTTTGCGTCTTCACACCATTTGTTGACATAAAATCCATCCCCTGCCTTACTTTTGCAGAGGCACTCGGGGTGGGGTGGAGGGGGGGGAGGAACGTCTGTTTCCATTTGAAACTGTCAAAATTAGCATTCAGTAATTAAAAATCACACCCTTTCTCTTAATAACCTAACCAGCATGATACAATCAGGTTGTGCCAACTCTTTAATCTAATTGACTAATTACAGATTTTAATTTAGTCAGTTACTGAACAACTGTTGACAATTTGTTTTCATTAGGGACAGAACAGGATAAATATTTAGGCTCCCCAGTCAAAGACTAAGACATAAGCTCTGGGCTCTGACCTCCAGCACCTTCTCCATCGGCATCACCCACGGAAAGGTGCTGCTCCGGAACGCTCCGGTCCCACCAACTGGGAAGCATGGAAGCAGAGGTTGCTCCATCCCGACAGCCGATCTCGTTTAAAAATATAAAATTAAACTAATCCAAGCTTTGCAGGGTGCTTCCAGTAAAAGCGGCGCGTAAGGGATGCTCTGGCTCGCAGGCAGGATGGGCACACCAGTACCCTCAACTGGGAGGGAAGGCTGAGCCCCAGCGCGCTGCCAGGAGGGAAGGAGTTTCTGTATTTATTCCTTTTTTTTTTTTTTTTTTTTTTTTTTTTTATGGGAGTTGAAAAAAAAAAAAAAAAAAAAAAAAAAAAAAAAAAAAGTTCTAGGAAAAATATTAAACCC